GACACAGACAGAGAGACACAGACACAGACACAGACACAGACAGAGACAGAGACAGAGACAGAGACAGACAGACAGACAGACGGACGGACGGACAGACAGACAGACAGACAGACAGAGATAGAGACAGAGACAGAGACAGACATAGACACAGAGACAGAGATAGAGATGTGTGCGTCTCTGTGCAGCATGTACGTGTGCGTGTATGCATGTATGTATGTATGTATGTATGTATGAATATGTGTATGTATATACGCACATGTGAAGAAGAAAGGGTCATGCTGACACACATGCAAACCAGCATATTTTTTAGCACTCACACTCGACAAAGCATATACATCCGTTCTTGCCCATACATGTACATTACGGACACCTGCATGCGGAATTCTTGCATGCATCCAGATCTTGTCTGGCATGCCCTCTGGTATCTTATGCATTCATGCTGTGGGTAGGCTGCGGTGGCTGCGGTGACTGCCGAACCGCTTGAAGTCATGTCACAAAGACGACTCCTACCTCGCTATGGAGTGCAGACCCCAGGCAAATGCTGCATAAGCCAGCCCCGAAAACCGGACAGAAACACCCAAAGTCGCGGCAAGCTTTAACCTCTGGCACTACATACTGCTCATGCCTCAACAACAGCTAAGACTGGAGAGTCCTCTGCATTTGTCTTTGTCTTGGACTTTTTCAAAGATGAATCCGATCGCTGCAGAGTTGCCCCTGACCCGGGGCTGTGTGGAGGCGAAAAAAGCTGCGGCGCAGAAGCTTCGTCAGAGACATTATCGAGCTTTGCCGCGCTTGGCGCTTCAACAGCAGTGTCCCAGGTGTGTGGCATGGTGGGTCCAGCGCGCGGTAAATCAGCCTGGACCGGGCACTCTTCCTGCTGCCTTGCCATCTCAGTCACCCGCACACCACCTTTCGCAGTGTCGAATTTCAAGATCTTTGCAAACCTCGCGATTCAACAAGCATCTGTGCCCCAACCAAGCTCAACAAAGAATAGCAATTCACGAAGCCAGGATGCGAAAGATGCAGGGACTGCTCGAAGGCGTCATGTTGCGCACGGGATAGATCCAGAATGCGCTGCTGCTCAGCCTTCAACACCTTTGAAAAGTCGTGCTCGGTCCAAGGGGCAGGCTTCGGCATGGCGAGAAAAGAAGCTCCCGCAGCCGCTGCGATTCACGAATCGGGCCTTCCTGTGTTTGAACGTGATGCTTAGATGATGTTGCGATCATGCCTCGTAGCCCACGGTTTCCTCGAGACTTTTGCGACGACTCTATGAATAGAATCTCCTAAACACGTCTCAATCTTAGCCGACACGGCCGCAGATGCCTCCGAGAGCACCGACCTGCCGAACTGCTCCAACCTCCCCCTCGGCACTCAAGCGGCTAAATGTAAACTGCGGCCAGGCGTACCCAAAATTCTCAAACGTCGGTGCAGGCAATAGGAAGGCCAATCACTCAAACTGGTCTGACCGGAAACTTCCGGAAGCAAGTCATCGAGTCCTAACAGTCGAAACATGTCGAAACCGAGGATCCACTGGTGCGTGTGCAAGGAGAAGTTCCCGGGCCTCTCGAAACACTGGACATTGATAGGATCAGAGACTTGCTGTGAACGTGGTCGCCGCCATCCGAATTGAAGCTGACAAATCTCTGAATCTCCACACTCCACACCAGTGTCTGAAGAAAGTCTCTGAAATCCTCCAAGCGTGAGGCTCTGCTTCACAGGGCAGGTTCCGTGCCTCCCGAACTGCATCCTGCAGTCCTGTCAGGGAATGTGTCGACACAGCGCTGCACATCCAGCGATTCACGTGCAGAAAGTCTTCGGGGGCCGATGATTCCGGTGTAGCTCGTGGACACCGCCACCTACATCCTTGCGAAACACTCAGAAAAACCTTAGCCGTCGTTTGCCCAACATCTCGCGTCAAACTTTCGGAAAGAATTAAGACGTTCAGAGTGCTCTGCCTTAGGGGGTTGCGGGCGCCAATGAGAGAACGCTGGCCTTGCAACATTCAGGGAATATGTTATTGCAAGGAGCATGCAGGACAGTCACATGCACATTGAGGGCTTGGGCAGGAATCCGACACTTGATCAAGTCGCCTCATCTCGGAGATCAAAACCACACCCAGCTCCCGGCTCCCTCGAGGGAGCCCGTCCCACAAAAACCAAGTCGTGCAGTCCAAGCCAGCCCTCGGCTCCGAGAGTGGGCCCAGAGGCCTCAGGCCTCTCAAGTGCCGCGCCCGCGATTCCGTTTCTTGGGGCCTAGACCCCACCCCAGCTCGACAGCCGCAACTGTCACAATCTTGCACGCAATGCCTTCGATATGCAACACGCCTCCATCATTCATGTGAGGAGCCTGGAGAATGTACAGGTTCAGTCCTGGGCCAGCCATCGCAGAGGCGGCCATAAGCGGGTACTGCAAGAGAGCTTTGCCAAAGCCTTTGCGGGCGCGCGAAGCAACAAAGATCAAGCTTAGGCTAGCTTTTGCGAAGGCTCACGGAGAATGCGCCCCGCCTGAAACCAGGGCTGCCAGAGCATCTGTACCTGACCAAAACGGGTCCATCGAGGCTTGTAGAAGTGCCTCTAACTGTGACAAGCTGCGATGTGTAGGCTCCTCTTGTGTGCACTCCTTGGACACGTGGCCAGTTTTTCCACAGTTTGAGCAGGACAGCCGGCCAGCATCCCCTGAGCCTGCTACAGAGAGGACATGCTTCATGTGGACCAGAGAACACGGAGCTCTGAGCAAAAACAACCACTCTCAGTCATGCATCCCCTTCTTACAGCTCATAGGCACCTGTGGCCTAGAAGCAGGTCCTGCTATGCTAACCCTCTTGAAAACTCCCAGCCCAAGCAATCAGCACAACCACTTGTCAGCCTTCACGTCTGTTCAACAGAACTTCGAGTGGTGTCCGCTTGTTGTCGTCCATGAGGAAAAGGGACAAAGGCACTGCATCACAAAGATACCTGCAGCAAGCAGTAGCTGACCCCACACCTCACATCCTAAACCCCCCCCCCACCCACAGTTTCACCCCATTTCTCAACCCGCCTAATAACTCAACCCTCCAAAACACTAAACACCAAGCACTCCCCAACTCCACACCAAAACCCAAAACACAACCCGAAACGCAAACCACCTCCCAACACTACGTCCAATCCCCCACGCCTCACACTCANNCCCCCCCCCCCCCCCCCCACACTTTCACCCCATTTCTCAACTAGTCTAATAATTCCAACACCACAACACAAAGCACCCCCCAAAACTAAATGAAAGCTTGCAGAACACCACCACACAAAGCACCTCCTCAATCCCACGCCGAAATCCCAAAAACAATCCAAAGCAAAGCCATCTCCCAACACACCACCAAACCCCAAAGCACAAAACAAA